CCCAGAAGCAGCGTTGTAAAATGCAGAAACGTATTCATCAGAGAGAAGAAAGACAAATTCAAGGACGGGGACATGCAAAGAAAGGTGTAAAGATCCTGGATGATTTACAGAATCCATCTTTTCAAACCTCAAGGGGTGTCAGTGTGGAATAAAATTACACATCCATCACATGCATGCCTATGTGTGCGCATTTCTGTATCACAAAGTACAGTGAGTAGTTGAATTTATATGAAAAGTCTTACTGAAGAGCGAAAGTGACCCCAAATGCAGGTTATGCAAGGCAGGTCTGTATAATGAAGAACACTTTTTAATAACTACCAGTTAATAATGGATATCTAAAAAGACAATTAAAAGAGGACTTATAAGCCTTACTTAAACATGTCAAAGGAATTTGCATAATTGCCCATTAAATACCAAACTAATTATGCACGCAGCAGTGGGAGAAACAACTAATTAAAAAGCCCATGCGGTGAAATCTTTTCTGCAACCCCCGACACATAAAATCAGCTTGAAAAACCGATTCAAAGTTGTTGTAATTTTTTTGAAACTTTGATTTAATTTCTTTTCTTGTTCCCTTTTCTGACTCTCTTGCTTTCTCTGCTCAGTTGCCGTCGCCTATTTTTCTTCCAGGTGCTTCATCTGTGTGAACTAAGTGGGGTGAGTCAGTGTGTTGGGGGACAGAAGAGTATGGATTAAATGCATCTTCAAAAGAGCAGACTTGCTTTCCGCACGAAGTAAACAGAGGACGCACATGCACACACAAAGTAAGGAAAACAGAGGCAGGAAATAATTGAACCGACAATAATCCTCTGCCTGAAATGAGGAAACAATGATTGAGCCATGTGTAGGCAGACACTTGAGAGATGGCTACAGCGAGAGTGGCTACAGAGGGAACAACATAATCAACACTACAAGACCGTGAAGTCATCAGACCATGGGCAATCAGCGTTTTTATGTAACAATTAAAAAAATAAAGTTACAATCACACTCTATATGGATGTTTGTTCCAAAGCTATATTCAGACAGGTGGCGTCCAACTTTTTTATTTAGATCCTCTAAAGCAAAGTCTACTTGCAACCCATCCACCCATATTTTAATTCTCCAGCCTAATAAACATCTCACACCCTTTAGATTGATCTCAACACTCTCCATGGAGGTCTTGATCCCTTCACCGGAGGTTTCTTCACTGTCCTTAGTCAACTAGCTTGTGAGACAATATAAATTAACTCCATATGCACTGCATGTCAAATTTCAATAATGGTGATTGTTATACAGAAACGATGTGCGCTAAAGATTATAGAAATGTTGAATCTTGAGAGGAAAAATCAGTTAGAGTTCAACTATAGTTGATTAATGACTTATGAAGTGTAAGGGCTATTAACTTCTTATTAGTGATCATGATTGACAACAACTGGCATGTTCTCTTTGGATGTATAAAAATAATTGTTTTGATCTCAGAACAATGAGAAAGTCCTAAATGGTGGTCGTTTTGAGCTATTTCTAAGTAACTTAAGACACCAAGATCACTTCAAACAGTTATCTAGTTTACATCAGCTTAACTTGATATGTCATTTGCCACGGTCTGGAAGTAGACCCAAACTGTCATCCTCAGATCAGAGAAAACGTATTAGGACAACACAGGAACCACCCAGGCTCAAGCCTGCCATGAACTACAAACAGGTGGAACATCAATATAACTGCCCATATTGAAATGAATTTTACATCAGCCCCTACTCCACTGACACCTTTAAGCTTGACTGAAGGTTTCGGCTGCCCACAGAGATAACCCAAATGCCTTGTGAGGTTAAGTTTTATGGTCATATGTGACAAAGATTGAGCTATTTGGTCATAATGACAAAGGTGTGTTTAGAAGAGTAAAGGTAAAGCTTATAAAGCTAACATTGTAGCAACTGACAAGGTGGTAGCATTGAGCTCTGCAGCTGTTTCGCTAACAGTGGTACTGGTATATTGCACAAAGTGGATGAAATAATGAAGAAAAACTCCAAATTCCCCAGGAAACCAACCAATTTAAATGAATTGTATCAATGAGCGCTGAAATATCCAGCAAGAATTATGCCAAAAGCTTTTTAATACCTACCAAAGCCATCTAGAAACTAGATAAGGGACATTTAACTTATTGAGTTGTATGTAAATATTTGAGGTAGCACGTATACCTTTGACCCTGTCTGGATTAAAGGAAAGACAAAATAAAGTCAAACTTCTTCACCCAGTTCTAGTCATTAAAAATGTAGGAACCCTGGAAAAAGAACAGTTCAAGGAAATCATTACAAGCCAAAAAATTACTGTGACACTGTATGTATAAAGTGTGTGTGTGTGTTTTTACTTCCTTACCGTGTGGTGTGATTGTCTGTATGGGCTTGCCCTGGCCTCTGATGTTCCATATGGTCAGAGTTCCATCTGAGTGACTGCAGATGAACTGCTTGCCCTCGTGATGCCAGGCAACTGAGTGGATAGCCTAAGAAATGACAGGCAGGAAGGCAGGGGTTGGGGGCAGTGGTTTAGTCGAATGAAACCTTATGTGCCAGCATGCAACTTGCACACTACAAGTTTGTTGCATTACCACGGCCATATGGTACATGATTTTCATACGTGGCTTAAATGGCCGTGGCTTTGCACACTTGCGCAGATGGTTGAAGTGAGATAAAAGAGCTCCCTGGCTTTAGAAAATTTCCTGTGGCACAAATGCATATATTAAAAGCTTTCATAGGAACAATTTGTTGAATGCGAAATAAAGAAAGATAGAAACCCCAACTAGATGGTTCCATTAGCAATATTATTAACTTAGGAGTCATATTTCATAAAGATACAGCATTACTCTGACAAATGTGTCCATAATATCCAATATAATTGAAAAACCGCTAATACTTCAATCAAGACCATATGGTTTAGCATGAATTACTGTGAAATTAAGAAAAAAAGTATTTCGCATTGACTCTAGTCCATCATTGAGAGCTAGAGAAACAATAGAAGCTTCAGATGTAAACGTTTTTAAAAGGTTAAAAACTACTTGCATATTTAGAAAAGGAAATACAGTTAATCACCAGCTTAATATCAAATGTACAACAGTTACAGAAAAGGCTGCAAAAGGGGAAGTTTAAGAGGTGACCTTTAGTTAGGGCTTCAAAACCGAGAAGAGGGCACAAGTGAAGAAAATAAAGACCAAATGGAGATACAGATCTCTGATTCACAGACAAGCTAACAGATAAAGAGAATAATGGGGAAAGACAGACAAGATTTAGAGAGCTGGTGCCCTCTCTGTCCTCTCATCTGAACAGTCCTGCTGCTGTTGTAAGCCTGGCTTGGGATGATTTATGTACTAGCAACAAAACACAAACACATCAAAACCAGAGTATATCTGCAAAGGCCAAGCTTGCCCTTTTGTTGTCGTATTCAATGCTGAAAATTAAAACCAGCAAACATTTTGACATTTGACATCAAACCATATGTTGGCTGCACGATGTGTGAAGCCGACAACAGCCACCCACGTCAACCCTTTAATATTTAGGCCCTTTTGTCTGAAAATCCCCTCGTTTGAGTGCAAACTTGTCACAGGTCCCACTCGCTTTGTGTCCTCGGCGCTGCTGCTTGTCTCACATCGCTCATCTGGAATGAATGGCTGCCTCTCTGTCAGAGCTGATGCGAGTGCACGGTCAGGTTAAGTCAATCTCTTCCAATTGCAGCTGCCATTTATTTAGGTGTATATCAATTTTGCCTTGAGTGTGTCATTAATCATAAGCAGTGCTATATGTCAGGCTCACCAAATCTGCTGAGTTTTAAGAAAAAAGCTGCATGAAAGGGAATAGCATTAGTCAGCGCTCTTATGGCACGCTCTGAGCGGTGTACCTGTTTTGTGTGCTCCAAAGTGAACAGTATCATACTTTTGCTGCACAGATTCTCCTGGCACGTTTTATGAAATCATAAAGACTGAACCACCTTTATGATCACACTGCTTGGTTTTAACAAACTAAAGACCAATCAGAGACTGAGATCAGTCTGCTATAGAGCGTAAAATACTCCCCTCCCCCCATGTGCTCTTGGTTCTGAGGTTTTCTCATGGAGATTTCGTCTTCCTGAGGATTGTTAGAAATAAATAGACATGATGACTAACGGCTTCTGTGTCTCTTTAAACTGGGGCGGCGGTGTGGAGAACATGGTGGGGATGGTTGGATGCAGCAGCCCAGAAGGAGAGACAGTTTGACAGCACCGGAAGTGATTCAGTGGCAGGTGGTGTGGATGTAGTTATTGCAGGTGTCTCGAATACAGTGTGAACACATCTCTAATTTTGTCAAATGTTTAGCATCCCACACTGTGGAAATGAAATCAATGTTCCAAGTTTTACTTTCAGTTATAAGTGCAGACTGTTCTCCTGGGGATCTAAATTCTGCTGTCAGCACTAAAAGCATACTTTTATTTATATTTTTATTTATGGATAGATGATATCTAATAATGGATACTGGTCTAAACTGTCTATGATTTTCCCTAGATGCAGTCCAGTCCACTTTTGAATTTTCCTCCCTGGAAAATTCGCCCATTCTGTGTTACCCTGACACTAACAGACTTCTAGAAATCTATCAGTGCATTGTTCATCACGCCAGTCCCAAGAGGCAACAGTGCCCTGTGCTTAATTGGAAATGAGCAGGATAATTGAAACACATGGCACTCATCAAATCAAACAATACCAATTAAAAAGGCTAATTTCATGATTTATCACATTAGGTCAGTTTTTCACAGATTGGTCTTTGGGGGCTGAGAGGATCCTGTCTACATTCATCACAGTTACACAAGACCTCGTCACACAGACACACAAATACACACTCGCGACAAAGACGCTAACAAGCATAGAAAACGGAGGAAAACAAACACAGAAGCTTTGTGTCACGGTATGACCCGAAACAGCCCTGAAATAGAATTGGCTAACCCTAAATGACACTTTACCTTACAGCAAGACTTTACACAGAGTACTCAACATACTGCTGTACCTGTTTGTGTGCACGTAAAAACACGTACACACACAAAGCAGTCACATACACACAGCAAAAGTAATGCGAGTCAAGCAACACAACCAGCTTAATCTGAACAAACAAGGCATTTGGGGGCAAAACGTCAGCAGTGATTTGCAATGAGCAATCCATTTTTGTTCGGTTATTTTAAATCCACATTTTCTGCTTTTGTGTTGCAAGATGCTCGTTACATAAGTCTTGAAAGAAACAAGCCCCAGTGAGCCTCTTATTTACACATTTAGATTTTTCTCTGTATTGTGAAGATGATTCACCATCACTGTTTCTGACTGAATAAACAACTTTGGAAGTACAATATACTGTCAATCTCTACATAACCAGCATAATCAGACACTCCGAGTACGATGGCAAGGTGGCAGCGTGTAAATACCCATCTGAACAAAAAGCTTTTTTTCTGTTCAGAGGATCAACAGGTCGAATTTCTTATTCTGCAAAACTCAAACTGGATCTTCTTGAGATCTTTTATAAGTTTTTAAAGAATTCTTAAAAAAGTAAACAGTCAGTGTCCAACATGAAAGCGTGGATCCATCCTGCTTTGTATCAAAGGGTCAGGCTGCTGGTTGGGGTGTAATGGCTTAACTGCCACAGCCTGCCTGAATTTTGTTGCTGGCATGTCCTTTTCTTTATGACAACAGTGCACAAACAGTTATGGCAGTTCTGAAGGCGAAAGGGGGACCAACCCAATATTTACAAGGTGTACCTAAGGTGAGTGGTGGCCAGTTGAAAATCGGTGTCAGATAACATGCTAATGTTAAAAATAAACTCCAAGTGGAGTCTTACAGCGCTGTTGGCATTGCTGTGCGGTTTACTTGTAAACAGGGTGTTGTGGTTTTTTGTTTTAAATGAGTAAAAATGACCAAATCAGTGAGATATGTTACATGTTCTTATGTGCTTTTTTTGATAGGCTGAGCAGTTGATGACTATTCTACAGAGAGTAAGACTCATCCAAATGGTTGGGATACCATCCTGAAACCTCACAGCTGGGATGATTATGTGACTGTGTTATAAACAGCGGCTCGTAAACATCTCTAAAACAACTTCAGGGTGGGAATAAGCATTAGAAAACCAAATTCACCAGCAAACCAAATGCATGGGAAGTCTTGTTACGACATTACACTTATGCATTAGCATCCACTTTATCCTGATGGATGGACTCCCTAAGAGACTGACCATCGTGTAAAGAGTGATACTCTCACCACTAATGGGTATTATGCAAGCCTTGCCAAATCACCCATGAGCTCTGTACGGTTAAGTTGTCTGTCTGAAATCTCAACAGGTCTTAGGGGGGAAGAAAACACTTCCTAATGAAGCCACACTTGTGTCAGATAGTTTGCAGATCATTTTGTAGCATTTGTTTTTAATCTTAAGGGATAAGCAGATGGGAGGGATTCACTGCGAGAGGACACATTGAATTAAGATAGCGGAGCTGCCCATCACAGAGAATGCCACAGGAAATGTGTGGAAGTCTTATCTGCCTGGTGGATTTTTTTTTCTCTCACCCATCTGGTTAGAACAGTGCCGGTCTGATTCAACAGTATTAAAAATACTGGCAGGCTGTTTACAAAATGAATGCTGGAATAAAATATGTTAATAATGCAAATTTGTCCACAACCGGAGCAGGTTATTGTTATGTTTTATTTAAATTCAAATAATTAATGCTTCGTGGTTGAGGGGAATATGTTTTCCAATTTTATTGTTGTTGTTGCCCTTTATTAGTAGCTGCGAGAATTATGACCTGCTCCTGCACAAATCCCTGCAAACATTTTGTCCCCAAAGTTTTTCTGGTGTGTTTGTGGACTTTGCTTCAGATCGTGGCGTAGGTGCTAAGTTCGGGCGCGCTTTGTGTTCGCGCGTCCTGGTTATCGTAGTCGCAGTCAAAGTAACCAATTTCTTATTTGTCCATTTGTGAAAAGAGCGAATAGAAAGGAAAAGAGGAATGGGGAGAACAAAAGGAAGGGAAATAGGGAAAATAGAGTGCCTTATCTGTGCAGCTTTGGCTGGACATCTGTGACAAAAGCCTGAACAGGTCGTGCCTTTGCAGCTATAGACACTGACTGCCAGATGCACTCCGAAGTTGAAATCAATAAAAATAAACTGCAAGCTGCAAAAGTAATGTTTTTTTCCCAGGGATACTATAGATGTTTACTTGAATTCTACGCTAAATTCTTGTGAATAATGGCAGGTGCTGTGCTCATTACTATATAACACTGTATGGCATCTATACACCAAAATACTACTAATTCTCTTTACTGTAAATGCACATGTATGCGTGCATCTTTCTTAAAAACTCCTTTCCTTCATTCCTTTCTGCACACAGTGTAAGAAGGCTGTTGAATAAATTAGTGCAATTAAACAATGGGCTTATTGAAGGGGAAAAAAAGGATTACAAATTACATCCATGCATTCAGTGTGCGCCACCAGGACACAAACACAGAGGGTGGAGGGAAGAACTAACTCAGATTTGGCTGCAATATTAACCATTCATCAGGTGTTGAGTCAGATGGAGAAGAGCGAGGCAGGGTCACAGTGACAGATGCTCTCTGGCTAGCACTCACTGGAAACCCATACTGCTGATCCACAGCTAATAATAGACAATCCACTGAAAGACACAGAGCTGAAGGCGTGCTCTCTCAGCTATTTAGGAGCTTGTAAAAACAAGTTTTATTGCCTTTGTTTGCCGGAACTCTGCTGGAAAGTGTCAAAGTTTTTTCTTTGCGATACAGGATAAGTTTGCTAATTTGCTAACTGTTCTTCAGTTTGTCAGCATCTGTAATTTTCAAATGCTGCCTTCATATATTTTTTCCATTTCTTCTACTTGCACAAATTATACAAAAACGCTAGCAAGAATTGTTAAAAAATGTGGCAGGAAAACAGGAAGTGGCATTGCTCATTATCTCTATCTTTTGAAATCAAAGACCACAGACTGCCTTTCAGCTGTTTAAACATTCGCAAATTTCCATCAAGGGTAAAATACGCTTTAAGATGTCTGTGCTTTTTCTAAAGTCTGAATCCATCACCGCGCGGTCTGCTGGCTTACTCTGCTGTTGAAAAGGAGAAGACGAAAAGCTTCCTTGTTCATTTCAGTCGACAACTTTGATACTTGGCAGGAAGCTTCTAGGCAAATAGGGTTTGAATGAAAGCACGCTGGAGAAAAAAAGCACGTGCGGCAGGAAGACTATAGCTTGGAGAGGATGTGAGAGCTGGAAAAGAGTTACTTCACAGTATTGTTTGAAGAAGCTATGTGGAGTTTGCATAGAGTCATGATGCCAGTAAATCACAACCAGCAAATATAACATCGCCTGCAAATCCATGCATTATCAGTGGCTTACAATTAATGTTAATAGTTTAGTTTTCATTGAGGTCAACAAATGGATGCTAATTCTATTTATGCTTACTATTAAGGTTACAATGGGTGGCAGGAATGCTCTGGACTGTATTATAAGAAATATGTTTTAAAATATAGACAGAAAATAAAAAGAAATTAACTGCAGTGAAGTCCACTTTAAAGATACCTGACCCTGGAAAACATTTAGATTTAGTAGCCAAGGGAGTAACTTCACCACATATCAAATGAGATGAAAGAACAGTTGCATGTTGCGGGCCCTTTTTTTAAGTCAGCCAGTGAAAAATCACAGTGAAGCAAGACACAACACCCCGCCCACCCTCTAGCTCAATACCCTGTCCCTCAGTTCCCACCCAATCTAACCCCCCCCCAGTCCCTGGGGAGGTGTATCTGCGAGGGTTTGGAGAGAGGAGATGAGCTCCTCTGGGAGATTCAATACTAGGATCTGTAATGCCTAGGAGCAGTGGGAGGATATTAGCTTATCTGAGAAAAGGATGTAGGGAGAGCAAAGGCAGAGAGGCAGACAGAGTAAGAAGGAGAGCTTCATACATACTGAACATACAAAATCTCCACCTCTTTTTTTTTGTATTTGTATCTTACAGCGGTGCCAACAAGGTGAGCATCTACGTGAGTGATACGATAATCTCATTATCTTAAACAGACTAGCCCTTTGTAAGGCCGCAGACACAGCAGCATGGCCGTGTACATGCTGAGTCAGCATGTGTGTCTATGTGTGTTCTTACAGCCATTCAGCTGGCTTAAGCCTCAGTAACAAAATTATGAATGAGAGGTCCTATTCATAGAGATGTTTCGCTCCTACTAGGAAGTCTAAATCATGGACTGTAGGAGTTCAGACTATAATCAGATTGAAGAGGAACAGCTACGTTGATGTAAAAAGGCAGATATTTCTTTTACCGACTAATAGCATTAAATTAGTCAAATTTAACTCATACATTAGTAGAATTTATGGGTTTTTTATTGCAAATCAATAAATTAATAGAGTTTAGAAAGCAGAGTAAGTGATACAGTGCATGGCTAATATCAGCATTATTAGCCATGTACTGCTTATAAGATGAAAGCAGTGAACATGAGTCTAAATCTTAGTTTAAAACAAGATTTCATGCTGTTTAACTTGCAAGACCTAATCTCAGTCAGATAAATGCTAGGTCCAGAGAGAGTCTAAGCAGCTCTGACACCATCTCTATTTAATTGTCATGTTTTCTGTTATTTACAGAAATACACTGTTACCTTATAAAGCCAAATAATCCATTATTTTAAAAAAAACGTATCTGTTTTTATACAAGAAAACCACTGTGCTGCTTTACAATCGGACATGAGCACATGGCACTCTACTGTGTGAATCATTCATAACCATGGTAAAATATGTATTTAACAAAGTCTTTGTAAATGACACAACACATCTTCTGCAGTGCTACCCAGAGATGCTTTTAAAGCTTTTAGAAACTACTAAAGTTTTACATACTTAAAATTCCTAAATATCAGCCCGTGCCAGCACTTTATTTGTAATTTTACACCCTCTCATACTGTTTGGGTGAAATTTGGCCCGTTTTGATATTTGACAGCAGCAAAAATTACCCTAAATTGACCCAGAATACAAATGAAAAGTGAAAATATTTTAACATTTTTTTCTTTTTTCTTTTTCCTTTTAGGTTTTTTTGGTTCAACTTGACCTGTATCTATTTTAAATGGATTTTAGAGCCACCAGTGTGAGTAATACCAAGGGAAATGGTGGTTTTAGGAAATCTTGAAATTGTATTTTCTTACGGGACAGTGGTGACAGAATCTAAGGGGGATTTTGACACTGTAACAAGAACTGTCTGTGTTAGCCTGAGCTCCTGCCGAGACGGGCACCTGCTGGTCTTTGAAGGATAATGGGCGAACCTTGAAACAGCGAAATAGTAAAACAGCACAGAATACGTTGCACATAAGGGGTCAGACAGAGGTTAGAGAATTTCTTGAGAGATGGTTCCTGCAATGCAGTGGTTATCACTCTCACCTCACAGCAAGAAGGTTCAGCTTGAAGTATATCGACTAAAGTGCTGCATGGATGCATATCTCAGGTGGTTAGTAAAACTATAAAAGCTCTACGTGAATGTGAGTACATTACATTTGCACCTACGAGCTCCCACAACGTAACAAAATAATCTGAGGTTAAAAAAGAATTCAAAAGAGGGACTGGGTGTTTTGTTTATGATACAGCAGTGAGAACAGAGTTTAACATTTACAGAGGTTACACATGTTTTCCATGATTTGTGTAAAACAGGACATAGTACTGCATAAGAGTAGATATTTTCTCAAAAAAACAGTAGTAATTAAGGTTTAATTATCCATTAATTGTCCATTTTTAAGTCTAAATTTCCAAATAAACCTGTAGATCAAAACTTATAATGAGAGAATTCTTGGCCTGTGTCAAAATGGACCCAGACCATGCTGTGAAGACATAAAATATGAACAGTGTGTGAGGGATAAAGAGGAAATACTTTATGTCTTTAGCTTGACAACACAAATCTAGTTAGTGATGGCTCATTTAAAAGTTATCCTCTTATTAAGCAAATTCTGGCTTCATCCTACTATGAAGTCAAACCTGACAGCCCCCCTTTCTTATTGAGGTGAAGCAGAGACTAGAAAGTTTTATCTTTCTTATTTTATCACCCTGCCAGCACTCTTTTTTTCCTCCATTGTGTGGTTTAAAACACAGACAAGAGAAAGGAAACACAGCTGTAGTAAAGTATTTCAAACTCAGGTAGACACACACACACACAGACCAATACACACATTCACACAAATATATGCAATTCAATTCAGAATATGTGATTTCACTTCCAGTCCTCGTATTACATTTTCTTAAAATGCAAGTCAAATGAATGCTGGAAATCTATTAGAGAAGAAAAGAAATCTGGGATATTTGCCTACCTCATCATATGTGTAGCGATAGTCTGCCTTCTTTGATTTGAGATCCCACAGGACCACGATCCCAGACTCAAATCCAATTATAAGCTGGAGAGGAAGAGCGACAGGCAGTCAGTGAGATAGGTAGGAGAGATGACAGACAGGGGGATAGAAAAGACCCCATGATGGGCAGAAAAAGAAGTAATACGTTTGACATTCAAGCACAGCGTGAAAGGAAGTCAGGTGTAAGAAGACTACAGCGGCTCAGGAAAGAAAAAAACTGCCCACCCTACTTCACAAAAAATGATATCAGATAATACAAAAAGAGCTGTAGAAAAAGAACATGAGCTTGTTCACAGAAAAATACTTCCCGCACTCAGTCTCAAAAATCATCAAAAATCATCTGCATTTGTGTCAAATTCCTCTCATCGATTAAAATAACCAACACAAATATATACAGTAGTTGTCCTCCAGCACCTCCTGGGTGCTGTCTTGTCAACTTATATCCTTATATACTTATCACATGCTGTTTAAAAGGCATGCTGATACATATCTGAAGAGTGGTCAAAGTGGTCAGTACAACCTGCATTCAAATTAAACTATACTCTAAATGGGGCTACACTAAAAAACAAAGTAATGCTTTCTCTTGACTCACCCCTTGTTTCTTCATATTTTGCATCCTAGGTGCCAGACTTCCTGTAAATTATTTTTAAAAGTGGGCTTCAGCTGTAATTTTCCTGGCTTTCTGAAGCTCTTTCAAAGTTTTTCATTGTGCACTGACTGCTTTTTCACTCATTGGCTTTCAATGAGGCATTTTTAAGGATAGGAAACAGGAAGAAAAGTCCGAGATGTGCCAGTTTACACAAGAACTGGCCTGAAAATTAGAGGCAATAGGTCTTATGGTGTGATCAATACCAATTTAAAAACTCTGGTGCAAATTATCCTCAGTACGCTGAAGAGTACCCTCAGATGTTGATCCACCATGCAATATCATCTGGAAAGTGTCTGATTGGCAAATTTCAACATGGCAATGATCCCAAATGCACTGCCAATGTAGTTAAAACAAACCTGGACAGATTAAATCCAACCACAGAACATTATCAGTCATGGCCTCAACAAAGTCTGGACCTGGACACTGTTAAAGTACTGTGGGATCATGTTAACAGAGTCCTTTAGGAAGCCTGGAGAACTATTCCTAAAAGTTACTAAAAGAAATTACAAGAAGTGTTGCCTAATAGAGTTCAGGTAGTTTTAAAGAATAAAGGTAGTCACATCAAATATTGACTTTCAAGCTTTTATAAACTCCTCTGTTTGCTTTATATACTGTCCAATCCCTGTATGTTTCCATGTTTTAATAACTCGCTGCACATTTATCCAATTTCTTAGAAAAACATAAAGAATTGTGGGGTAATTCAAGACTTTTGCACAGACTTTTGACCAATGTAAGCTTTGCAAGATATTGCGATTGGGTGCATAAATCCGCTGATTCTTACCTTTCCTTCATCCATGGGGTTATCACTTATGTGAACAACTGGTCCAGGATGAGCCTTAGAGGACCTTGTAAGAAAGATCAAAAAGACAGACAGTTTTTTTCCCTTTAAGCCAGGATGGAGTAGACAGGCATCATGTAAGATTTACTAATATGACATGGTCAAAGGCCTCATCTTAACCCATAGTGAGGGTTAAGATGAAGACCGAGTGTCTTTGGACTTGTCGAAGAGGTCTGCTGGGAGGAGAGAGCTGTCAATCATTCCAAGGCTCTAAAAGGCTGTACAAAGAAATAAGCTTTCTGAAGGTTGTGATGGATGACTCTGTCAGGCCAGGAAGTCCCCAGTGGCTATGTGTATGTGCATCCACGTGCTGATATGTGTGTCCATTTGCATGTCAGTGGAGAAGATAGAGCAAAAAATGCTCGACTGCCTCTCCTCTCCCCCTGCTGTCTGTGCTTTACCCTCCAGACAGTCTTATGTCAAAACTCCTCTTTCTGTGAGCCACATGGGAGCCAAATGTACCTAACCTGCCCTGCCTTAAAGAGATGATGTGGACAGAGGATTGCCAGGCAAGGTCACTGCTGAAAAAAGTAGTGACTGTTGGAGCCTGAAACATATCCCCAGCACTGTGAAGCAAGGGCAGGGATGCCTGACAAAGAAGGAGAGGAAGGAGCTGCAGCCAAATGTAAGTAATGCAAAAATGAGGCAAGGCAAAGTCGTTGTTTTGACCTATGCCTTAGCATATTTTTGACAGCGGAGGACACGCTGATGACAATATCAAAAATGTAAAAAGATGTACATATTTCACTGGGAACATATTTTGGATGGAAATCAATTAGCAAGGGATGAATGTTTACTCTGCTCATTCGATTTAGCTTAGCAGATTTCCATGAATCTATGAATATAACCAAAGGGCAATAGAAGGGAAGAAGAATAGACAACAATGTGTTTGTGTGTGTGCTTGTGTGTGCTTGTGTGTGTGTGTGTGTGTGTGTGTGTGTTAGAAGGTAGCAGTTAGTGGGCAGGCAAGCAGTCATTCAGTCATCTCTATATTTAGCCCGTTAGTGCTGGAGCCTTATTACCTAAGCTCTGCTGCAGCCAGAGTTGTTGATTTATCTAATCCCCCCTTCACTGCCTGTGTCTCAGCGAACAGGAGTCAACACCCGCGCACACATTTGTGTGTCAGTGCAATTAAGACACATCTTAACATCTACCCCATCTGTAAACAATCCCCCTCAATGCCACAGCAAAACAGTACTCTGTTGCCAAATTACAAACTGCAAGTTCCCCTCCGTCCCACGTGGTTTACTTGGGGTTTTAGGGTTTTATATATAATGTTCTCCGCGCTTCCCTTGAGACCTCACAGCAAATCTATTTTGTTAAAACCTGTTGTTGTACAGTAAATAAACCAGAAGTGAACATATTTACAAAGTTCACAAAAAAAAACCCCAACACATTCAGGTTTGGAGATAAAGGAATCACCATAGCAACAGAGGCAGGATGGGCAGAGCGCGAGCAGGCTCCCAAAAATCATCCACAGGCAAACACGCACATGCACACGCACACACAGATACACGGAATGGTGAGATGCTATACTGTGCATGTATGCCACTGTATTTGTCTCAATATATGCTTGTGTGCACAGAGTATGCTTGTATTCTCGTAGTATCTTCGCATTTATCACATTCTTGTCTTTCAAAAACTAACTGAAGGTTTTATATGTCACACAGACAGACATGCACACACACACACACACACACACACACACACGCAGAACCAACAGCAAGAGTAAAACTAAATACCCCGTGGCAAATATGATGCTTGTTCAGAACGTCATAAAATCTTGCAACCCCCCACCCCCACCCCGATACCTTCAGCCAGTCATCTGTTATAAAGCCTTACTGCACCAAATCCTTCTCTGTATATCAAACATTCTCCCTAGCCAGCAATGCCTTTAGCGCATTAAAGAAAATGGGCTATTACAATACATATGTTGCATGCATGCGCACGTGCACCGTAAAGCAATTGTCTTTGCGTGTATAATGCAGGGGTGAGGGGGTATTTAAGCACTTGTAAAGGTAACACCTCATTGAATTTAAAAGCATCTCCTCGGCGCTGACACACCCACATTTCCTCATTCACACACGCAGAGAATATAGCAGTAAGTGAAACTCATAGGACGGTATAATTTCAGATATTATGCATTTAGAAATGAAAGCACAAAAAAATTATCGAGCATACCTATTCAACAGCTTAACTCCAACACTGACACATGCCCACACAGTGAAGTCCTGAACATCTGGTGTCATCATGGGTGACAATCTCTCAGGCAGCAGAGGCGCAGTCAGCATGGCAGTGCCTCTGCGGCAACATGGCTTGAATAGACTATTCGCGGCCTGCTGATTTCTTATGTGGCCTAATGTGACCTCAACAGACCACGCGTGTTGTATGTGTGTATGTGTGTGTCTACTATAGCGTCATTTTGTGTGATTCTTTATGTAAGCATTCATGACAGCTACATATTTTTCCAGCATAGGATCACGTTCCAGACATCAGTCCTGGCTTAGCTATACTAATTCTGCATAGAGAGCTGCTTCCTCATCAAGACTGTAGCCTCCTGAAAGAGACCAAAAATCAGCAGAGGCAGCCATGAAATGGTGATTGTTGTATTATTGGAACAGATTTACTTTTTTTGGAGACGTGCTGTCATTCATCTTTTTGCCACAGTTTGGAAAATAGGTGACACATCTCGCATCCGTTTCTTAAAAATGAAGCTACCACTAGACATCGATTGGCTTAACTGAGCACAGCTACACAATATCTGCCAGAACTCGCTCATAATCCCAACATCCGATGGCATAAACCCCTATAAAAAGGTAAGATGTTGTTTTTAGAGAAAGAAAAAATGAAATTTTAATTAGTGACATTTAGCGTTACTGCTAGGCTTGGTTTAAGACAGGGTAGCTATTTTCTGCTGCTTTCTGTCTCTATGTTAAGCAAGCATATTTAGTCATATTAAATGTACAGAAATAGAGTCTTCACCTTCTTCATCTTTCCTAATGTCTTCACCCTCTAGCAGGCCACAAGGCCACGAGTTCCCTCCATTTAAGTTGTCCCCTGAGCTTGCCCTGAGGTGTGGTCCATCTCCTGTAGCTCTGACACAACAGTTCTCTTCCAGATGATTCAGGGTCTGCCTGGTTTGTTTTGGGGGGGTTTTCCCCAGGTGAAGTCCAATTAATGACCCAACCATTTAAAACGTTCCAGTTTTACTTTACTGCAACGAGAGTCTTCCACTCTAACTTTCCGAAAAACACCAAATAGAGGTATTTAAAAAAAATCTTGATGTTTTACGACCAAAAATCTATTTCTTTGGTACTGAAAAAAGATTAGAACAAGAACCAGACTATAAATATGTGTAGGAACCAAACGAAATGAACTTGTGAAGTGACTTATTTCTACCCTTAATTAAACAGAATATCAAAAGGATATGTATAACAACAAAAGATCACTGTACCGGGTCTACAACCGGTAGCACAGCATTCCTGGAGCCCCAGTACATGGCTTTGGGGGATACTCCCAGCCATAAATCTTCTCTAATCTATTTTAGTACCAGCTGAGGATTTCACACATGCATATAAACAAAGTGTGCAGGAAGCATTCATGTAAGAAAATCTTTTAAAAAATTCAACCAAGTATTTATACTAGCTGCAGGGTTCGAGTGGGGGAGCGGGAGGAAATGAAAGTGGACAGAACAGGAGATGCCTCGAGTCAACATGTTCACGTGAACTATGTGTCATAGTAGGCTGTTAACATTTGCTCCAGTCCCACTTCTCCTTGTCTCTCTGCAGCCAGTGACTGTTTAGCTGATTTAACGCACACCAGCACACACATAGTCACTGCTAGATACATACATAACAGCTTCAAACTGTATATTCAAGTTAGATGAAAGGATACGTTGAACACTTAAACATTCAATAACTGCATACCCTCCTACACAACTAGACAAGAAAAAGGAGCTGTGTTAATGTCAGAACAGTTAACAGCCACTGAAAAGGATATAATAACTCAATCTGAAATCATGGAGAGATGTATTACAAGTACGGGGTACTTAAAGAATATGCCTTTTTTCAGAAATTGTTAACTTGGTTATTTATTTATTTTTCTTGTCTTTTTCATAATTCACTTTTTTGGGGAGGGAATGTAATGCCACTGGGAACGTAGCAGTGGAATGATGAGAATGTAGGGGATCCTAATGGAGTTAAGTCTTTGATAGGGATGCTTAGTAGAGCACAGTGGTACACATTTTGCATGTATAAAGTTTGTGTATGCTTATTTATGATTAATATACTGCAGTCAAGTATCATATATGAAGGATTAGCCTAATTCTATTTAACCTTCTAATATCCTGACTTTTTGATAGCATGCATTTTTAATTTCTCTTTGCTATTTGGGCTGATTAGGACCTGATGAATGCAAAAACAAAGAATTACGTGATTTTTTTCAAACGGCAATTTTTGTTTCTGAGAAAAAATGAGATCCGCATATGAGGACATTTGCTTCAAATTTCAATAGAACAGTGGAGTATAACGTCCTAATAAGTGGATATCAGGCCGTTGTAGAGCAAAATTTAGCATTTTGGTCTAGACAACCCAAAATGTGATGTTGACATATGTGGACGCCGGGTCCTAGGAGGTTAATTTGCTTTCTAGTAATGTTGTAAGAAGAGCTTTAACCAATACAGAATTATTTAAGATCAATACTAATACTGATATTCCAATACACTGGCTATTTTTTTTCCTTTCAGACACACCCAAAAAAAGATTTCCCTGATATTTATTATATTTGCTTGTTTAAGCTCTTTTCGGATCAGCTGGATATTGTGTTTTTGGGGCATTCAAAAACATTGTTTGGCTTTTTTCATTGCCTTCCGATGACTAAGGCTACGTCCACACGTACACGGGTATTTTTGAAAACGGAGATTTTCCGTTTTCGTTTAAAAAAAATAAAAAATCCCGTCCACACGTAAAAGCCAAAACGAAGGAAAACGCTGCAAGGAACATACCAAAGCAGCAGGTGGTGATATATTCGTAACCGTGTAGAAATGTTGGCCAATCAGAAGTCTAGAAGCCTGGGTGGGAAAGAGTAAACAAAGATGGTGCGTAGAAGCGGTACTGAGTCCCATGTGTGGAGGGACAGTAACTGTGTGTGTATATGTAAGCATTTAAACACTGCAGAGAGTAAAATTAACAGTAACGGCATTTTGTCTAAGTCTGCCATTGTAGAAATTCATTTCACCGAGACAATAACTTGGCGCGCAGTGTGTGACGTCAAAAAAGGCGCACACCGTTGACGCTGCGTTTTCTCAGTTTTCCTCATCTACACATAAACGCAAAAAGTGAGTTTTCGAAAATCTCCACCCTGGCAGGAGTTTTTAAAAATCTCCGTTTTCAGTGACCAAAAACGCCGTTTACGTGTGGACGAAAGCTGCAAACGCACAGAAAAATCTGTGTTTCCAAAAATACCCAGGTACGTGTGGACGTAGCTCTAAGTCTGTAACGTCAACACTCATAACATGATTAAATTGTTTTCTTGCAGTTTTCTTTTTTTTTTTTAGTTTTCATTTAAAAGGCTCTTATAAATGCTAATACCAAGGAAAATGGCTAACATCGGCTGACAATATCGGCCCGCCCATAAATCGGTCAAGTTCTAACAGTAAGTTTGCTGTGTTGTTATTTAAAGTATATAATATATCAATTCATTTAGAATCAGAATCCTTTTGTTGTCATTAAACATCAGATGTTCAACGATATTAAAGGCAGTTTCCTGGTAGCAGCATTTAGACTAAATAAAAAAAGTAATAAAAAGCTAGCAATAAAACAAACCTAATAATGTCAACTGTACGAACTAATGTGCAAGTTTGCTCTGAAGTATTGCACTTTTCTTGTGGTGTGGTGATGTGTATGAGATATCATGTCTATTGAGATATCGAAATTATTTCTATGATTGTTTTAAAAAAGAAAAAACGTGCATGTCAACAAACTCAGATTCATATGTTGACGTAGCAGCCTTCATGCCTGTAGCCCTCAGTCAACAACAGCGCTGTGCAGACGGCATAGGATGTTAGTTGGTCTAATAGTCCAGTACAATTTCTAACACAGTAGCTTGGGAACAAAGGTGTGAGTCATCCAAATACTCGGAGCACTCGGCCTGGGGCTACTGGCACAGCAACTGCACAATTTGTCTCCAAATAGCAGGGCCCAAAGGATGATGACCCCTGTACACACTGCATCTTATCCTCATTAGAGCAGTCACAGCTGCACTGAGGTGTACTAGGCAGGGCTCGAAATACAATGTTTAGGTTATATTTTCAATAATACAGCATGCAGATAACAGCAAGAACATTTTGGATATTTATGTCTAATGGAGATTTGTTTCATCAGAAAGCTGCCCAAGGTGACACCTTCCTTTTTTCCCCTCTTAAAAAAAGGCAAATTTTCGAATTTCATACTTGAAACCAGCAGGTGTTGTTTGATAAACGAGACAAACAATTAATCACTTTGCTGATTGGATATCTATCGCACAACCAGTCACTGCAGATGTAAGTGGAGTGACCGTGATTTTGACAGAGCACTATCTTGGTCTGATGAGAACAACAGAAGAGGCTCAGACGCTTTTGTATCTGGAAAGTGACGCTACCAACGCCACAGCTGGCTGAGGCTCAAGAGACAACAAGAGAATCACCTCACACCTCTCTGATGTTCATCAAAGCAAACAACCGCCACACACTCATACATTTAAACAGATATGCAAACTGAATGCATCCGCATCAAGTCTGAGAACCGATTCCTGACGATGCTGACATCTTATGCCGTCGATCGAGGCTTGAACCGGAGATACGTCCTCCGACTCACACCGCAGGTTGGGACAAAAACAGCAATATGTGAAATAATATTTTGTAACTTTATTTTCTACAAACCTGAATGACTTAATGTCGTGTGAGATGATGCCTGATAGGGAACAAGATTCATCTTCGGCTCGAGGTAATGAAATGAAAGGTGAAAGCAGATATACTGTAGGGATTTAGATGTGAATGTGGAAATCTGAGGAAGGTATGGAAGCCACACAGGTCAATACACATCAAGAATGTTTAAAGAGATCTAGCATGAGCAAAATGAGCAAAGACAAGTACGGCACGCTTTTGTAATATTATTTGGTTTTAATGCTAGAAATAGAAGGACTTTTTATTATTTCCAACATGGATTTTTTTGCAATTTGTAATATCAAAATGGGAAATTGAGTAATTTTTGAGATTACTACTTTGAATTTGGGAGTAAAAGAGAAAGCGCTATTTCCATGAAGTCAATTTTAACATATACATATGCAGTATTAACTCAACTGGCTGTACATGCAGCTGATGCCCAATAAACTGCTATTTAAACATTCTTCCAGAGATGAATACATTTCTCATAGTGCAAAAGTCTTTACTCTTTCATTTCCCACCGGACAAACATTGAAATAGAAGTCACTGAAACTGGCAGTTTATGGCTGGCAGAGGATGCCAAGGGAAGGTGAAAAGACATTATGAAAGTGAAGGGGAACAGCGTGGAAGTTATTGTTTGTCCTTTAGTCAAAAGGCACCCCGGTATCTACCTCACCATCATCCATATCTACTCTCCATCACACATTATTACTCCTTGCTTTCCCCCTTTGCCCTTTTTTCTTTAATTGGAAAACTTTTTCATCTGCCACTCTGACTTATCCGTGCAACTTCATTCTTCTGGGCGATCATTCCCTGCCCTCTCTTACCTGCATTTATCCTACTCCATTCCTATATCACTCTTCATCTCTACATGTCCTTTCCCTCAGGCAAAAGCCCTGTGTCATCCTTTCCACTCTTCTCCCCTCCTCTTCTTTCTCTCCCTCTCTCTCTCTCCCAACACTCGCTCTCGCCTTTTTCCTCCCTGCAGCCCTGTCGACGAGACGAGACGTCTGTGTGTACCATACACTGATCTCGGCAGACACCTGTTCCACCCCCTCTCTCCCTCCTACTCTTTTCACTCCGTCTCCACACACACACAGTAGGAGATGAGGGGAAAGCATGAAGCAAAATGCTCCAGTGAATAATTTAAGTCTATACAGCAGGGAACCAAAATGGAGCCTGTCAAGCTGACAGATCCATTCAAACAGCAAAGAGACAGGTCCCTTACTAGCTTGAATCTGATACTGGGAGTGGAAATGATACAGTGACTAATGATTCTTTCTTATCTCCTTACATTTGGAATACAATAACCTTTTGACCGGTAAAACGTCAAACGGCGTTCTTCTGCTTGCAAGGTGAGTCACAAGACCCCAAGGTCCTCATTGGAGTGTCGCTGATATGAGTTCAACTCTAACAAAATCTATATATTGATCCACTCATCGGTGATTCTCTTTGGATAAGACACCCCGCCATGTGAGACAAAACCTATGAAGGTTTTTAAGTATAAGACAAAAGCAAAGCTTTCAGGACACAATCTGGAAGAGAGCATCAGAGGGTAAAAAATAAAAAGAATCATGGGGGCCACTCACAGTTCAATGGCTTTGTTCCACATGATGACGTAGCCTGAGAGCATGAAGGACTCCACGTTGACAATGTGGATGTTCCCTCGTTCTGTGCCGATGTACAACCATTTACTCTGGAAGGGCAGGTGGCAGAAAGTTATTCTGTGGACAGAAGGAGAAAAGTGTTAGAAACAGAGGAAAGGGAGGAAAAGAAAATGTGGACAAAACCTCAGAGGAAGACAGAAAGCCAAAAGTAAGAAGCTTCTTGAAATTCACTCAGTCTTATTCTAATTATGCAAAACTATGAGAGGATTATTTACCACTCCACCAGGTCGAAGCAGTCAAGATGAGAGTGGCAAACCAAAGAGATTTCTGAGTCATTCAATCAGACCCTTTTCCTCTACACCCACAGGATACATGAGGGCAAAGAGGCAGCCATCATTTTCTTCATTTTTTTTTCATTATCACCCACATCTCCTCCTTTTATCCATCAATCAGACTCAAGTTTAATGAGAGGTTATAAACCCTTCCCTCCTTATCCATTCATCTTCTCATCCCTTTTTCATCATTTTGTTCTTTCACCCATTCTCCAATTCAACTTTCAATCCATCTGAGGAATAGTAATGTACAACCTTGCTAATCCGGCTTGCTAATACTTCAAGGTTATTCGGCTCCTCCAGCGATCCTTTTGATTCTGCACGGTGGTTTGTGCCACACCTGTGGTGCTGAGAAGCTTGTATCTATAGGACAAAGCCCTTAAGTTTCATCAGCTGAGAAAGCCATCCATGCAGGAGGAGAAATAAAGCTGCACTTCTTGTTCGGTATTTCTAACAATGGTACAGCGACGTACTTCCTCCTCAGCGCTGAAGGGTTTGCTCAAGTTTAACAGCAAAGTCACTTGGCACAATTGCTGTCAATTTGCTGCTATCAAAGACAGATTAAGTGGAGGCAGTGTGTCAACAAAATGCTTTGAGATAAAACAGAATATGGTTTACATTTATCTTGGTACCTTGGCAGGGATGAATTAATAAAAAACTGAACTTAAAATCAGGCTCTGTACTATATCATGAAGGATTAAATTAACCATACGCTACTAGGGGTGCCACGATTAGTCGACTAGTCACGATTATGTCGACTATCAAAATCGTCGACAGCAAATTCAATAGTCGACGCGTCGTTTAAAGCCTTGTAAAATCCTGAAAGACGCAGGAATAAGTAGTAGGATTTAAGAGTGTAATAACGGACTGAAACAGAAGATGGCAGCACTGCATGTACAAGGATGCCAGCTGCTGTTAAACCCCGACGAAGAAGAAGCAACTCCTATACCGTAGCTGTGTCCAAATTCAGGGGCCGCATCTTTCGGAGGCCGCATTTGAAGGCCGATTACGTTACAGCGACGTGACGAAGGCTTTCCGAATTCGAAGCCTTCTGCAAATGCAGCTGACAACCTATCCCAGAATTCATAGCTCAGCCAATTCGAGTTTCAAACAATGGTGAATGTAGCTGTGTAAACTTCAAATATCTGCTCAGTTTATCAAGACATCACATATTTGCAAAAGTGCTCCGACGTTTTCAGAGACATCTGTTGCCCACCAGCTCGATAGTTAGCCGGGGTTCAAGGCTCACTAGAGCCGGTGAGAACCGCGGTCTTTCGCTACTCAGGTTAAACATGATATAAAAGTCACTTAGATAACTTAAAACTGTTATTGTTTGGCTTTTTTCAGTGTTTTATTTGTTCCTGAGTAAATCGGTTTGGCTGATATGAAAGTTACAGTTTTCACACAGCTGGATAAATGTCAAGCAGAAAACTGATTATCAGAAGCGTGAGATGGTCGAGAATTTACTCCAGTGTCCTGT